TTTTGTCCCCATTTGCTTGCAGGTTGCTAGATGTGATTAATGTCTAGCATTGACATATGCAGCATGTTACTGTTACTGATATGCCTGTGATGGTGACATGATGTTATAAGAAAATCATAAATATCTAAATAAAACCAAAGTCTCATTACCGCTTTCAAAACAGCATGAAAAGAGGCAACAGAGAAGAGTAGGTAGAGATCTGGCTTAAGACTGAAAAACCTGAACTCTGATTACAACATATCATCAAGGAAATTACTTATTCATATTCACACAATTCAACTTCTACAAACCTCCCTCAATTTCCCAACTCTAAATTCTTGCTTTGCTTATTTCATGAGTGTTGTAAAAATTAAATGACATGATCAATTTGAAAGTACTTTGAGAACTATAAAGTAGCATGCAAATAAACAAATACAGAAGTTTTTTTAACCAACCTCCACTTAACTAACTCACTAGATGTGTCAGGGCTCTCAACTTCCTCTATAGAGTACCCCACCTGAGGTCCAAGGATGCTCCATGGACACTCCTGGACAAGTTGTGCACTATTCCCACCTCTTGAGTCCCATTCTGATAAGATTCAGGAGGGTCTGATCCCAAAGCTCGTTATATAGTTTCAGTTATATAATTTTTTAGAAATTTTGCTCTTTACAGAATTTAAATCAATGAAACGAGTAAGAGGAGTTGTTGCTTCTAGGAAAATTAAGTTCAATTATTTGGAAAGTGAAATAAAAATACTCCCCCCACCACAAAATAATTACCACTGTGTTAACTCTAAGATAAGAATAAACACATGGGGGGGGGCGTTATGCACATCTAAAATAATTCTTCATGTAGAGTGCTTTACCTGTGTCTTTAAGTTTCTAATCCACTTTAAAGAAAACAAAGCTGGATACCACAGAAGACGTATTACAGGTGTGGATGTGAAAGAAGACAGCGCCCTCCAAACATCAGACTCAGCTCAAAGGAAAAGCTACAAGATTAAATGAATGTACAGCTAGGCAGTTAAAGTGAGATAAAATCATTAATTTCATTTCTTCACTATTTCCTCACTCCCTGTTTTTACTAACCTTTTTCATAACTGTTTAATGAGTTCTAGATAAAAGGGCTACTTAATCACTAATATCAGAATAAAGGGGAGGAGGCAACCTCAAAAATGAAATATAAAAAAAAATGAGATACAAGTGATTCAGTGGTGGTTAAAAAATACATGATACCCAGCTGGGCATGGCGGCTCACACCTGTAATCTCAGCACTTTGGGAGACTGAGGCAGGAGGATCACTTGAGGTCAGGAATTCAAGACTAGCCTGGCCAACATGGTGAAACCCGTCTCTACTAAAAATACTAGCCAGGCGTGGTAGTGCATGCCTCTAATCCCAGCTACTGGGAGGTGGAAGCTGGAGGTGGAAGCTGCAGGGAGCTGAGATCATGCAACTGCACTTCAGCCCGGGCAGCAGAGCAAGACTCCATCTCAAAACAAAACAAAATGATGCCCATAAATACAGCCACATAACATGTCCATGTTAAAAGTAGAAGATTCAAAAACAGGTTAAAATGAGAGTTCAAAAGCTATTGAATCTTTAAGGAGCACTCATTAAATCATACAAATGACATAAAGTTGATGCAAAATTACAACACTGTAATGATGATAATACAGCAATTCTCCCATCATAATAAATAACTGAACCATCTGCACCAGGGCTCAGATAAAATAACAAAATCAGCAACAAGTAATATTTTAAGCTCCTACTATATGCCAAGAGCATTGTATTATTTCATTTAATCTTCACCAAAAAAAACTAAAATAAACCTAGGAAAATACACAACATGTACTTTTTGTAGATGAAAAACATCTGGGATTAAAAAGGTTAATTAATATCCCCACAGTGGTAACTCTGAGATTCAAGGTCAGTCAAGCTTCACCATGCTACATCCTAGAATTACTAAAATCCAGACTATCGAGCCTCAAAATTCAGGAAGTCCTCAGATTTTCTCATCAGAGCAGCGCGTCTCAGATGTTAATGTGCAGATGAATCACCTGAGGATCTTGATAAACTGCAGTGTCTGATTCAGTAAGTCTGAGGTGCATCTGAGATTCTGCGTTTCCAACAAGCTCCCAGGTAATGTGGATGTTGCCGGTCCTCACACCTCCTGTCCTATAGCACATCCAATCACTGTCTGTCTCAGAGGGCCTGATTTCCTCCCAGTGGCAGAAGCCACTCAGAATATCATTACCCTTTCTGCCTCCCCAGCTCCTAATCCTCAGCAGTTTCCTACACCCAGGACAGGACCAACTCTGCTGATGCCTAGTGGATAAGAGCTCCAGGCATCACATCTTTTAAGGGCCTGCTCCGTGCCAGGCACAGGAGCACCAAGAAGAATAAGAAAAAGACCCACACTTCTTAGGGATTTTAATCTCCAATACAGAACCTTCTCCTGAAAATATGCCATTATAATCAATTCACAAACATGTGGTAATTTCATAGGTAACAGCAAAATCACTTTAAAAGGGTTGGCACTGTCATTAGAAGATCTTAAGGAGTTGACACTCTTCATTCACATTTTCAACATCCATAAGGAGAAACATGAAAGCAAAAATGGACCCAGGGTAACCCTGGGACTCAGTCTTCCTAAGTCAAACCTTCTCATCTGTCAATGAAGCACCCCCGTCTTTGAGTCTGGCTGTCTGCCCATCTCCTAAGCTGAGGAAAGGAAAATATTCACAAGCCTGCCTTCATTACTAGGGGAAATGTTAGCTCCTGCTTTTAATTAAGCATTTATACTGATTTTTTTCTTTGACCATAAAAGAGATCCAACTGCATATTTTCTAAATGATCCATACAGATCTAATAAACAATGTTTTTCCAGTAAAAAGGCAGTTCCCACTGTCTCCCTTGCCTGCCATAAAAACTTGAGCTTTCCAATATTCATTGATTGGACAAACATTTAATGAGTGTCTCTTTGATTTGTGCCAGGCTAAACGTGCTGAACACTAAAGATACGCATGAGAATGAAACACCATTCCTCCTCACCCAGATCTCACAGTCTAGAGAGAGGGACAAACACATAAACAAATAATCCCAAAAGAGTGACAGTAGCTGTTTAAAAACAAAACAAAACAAAAACAGGAGAGGAAAAACTGGGTGTTTTTTTCCTCCCCCTGAGTCAAATGCAAAACCATAATCCATTTCCAATTTGAAGGAACTAAGAGCTATAAACAAATGGGAAAAAAGCAGAATTACACAATATTCCTGAAATACACTGTGGTTAGCAACCAACCATACAGACACTATGACAGGCACACTCCTGGGCACTCAAGTGATAACATGGAATTCTATTGCCAAGGAGGTCAGTGGCTTTGGGGAACAAGACACAGCTACTATTGGAGAAGTTTTTAAACACTGTTGAGAGAAGTCAGGCAATGTAGACCATAGCTAGATCATGATGAGCTTTGATCCTCCATGGGCCATGGCAATGTGGAGCCATTGAAGATTCTTTTGAGGAAGGGAAATGACACAATTTAAGTTGTTTGTATATCAACTTTATAATTAGAAAAGTGACTCAAAACCTACTATGTGCCAGTCACTATTATTCCAAGGGCTTTACATGTATTATCTCTAATTTTCCTAACAGCTTCTCAAGGTAGACATGACCATCCTTTACAGAAGAAGCAATTGAGACTCAGAAACATTAAGCAAATGTGTCGAAGGTTACATGGCTAATAAATGATGAAGCTAGGGAAGTAAATCCGGCTGGTTGAATTAATAAAAGAAGAGGTTACTGGCAGGGAAATTAACGTTAAGGTACCTGAATAGCCAAGATGTAAAGTATAGTGGTGACACCAAAAATAGCAAAGTTTATACTGCATCTCACATAATGCTTCATCTGTTTTTTCAAAGTAGTCCAGAGAGGGTTCACTGTAGAGCAGCAATAAAGTAAATAGCCACAATGTGTTAAGTGATTACCATGCGCTGGGTACTATGTGTGATCAGGGTGGGGATGCAAAGGAGACATGCAGAGGCAGTCAGTGATTTGTCTATAAAAACAAGGCAAAGTGATGGGTGAGCAAGACAACAAACCACCCTGCTTTCCTCCTCCCTATGGCAGCGGACCGCATGCCGCCTGGCTCAAGCCCATGCATAATACTAGGGGTCAGGTCTGTGACCTCTTCCTCCTCTCCAAAAAGTGCAACCCCCACTGACTTGTTCCTCAGAGGCTCTTGGTCCTGTTCTAGATTATTCTAACCAAGAGTGCCTTACTTAAGTTGATGGGCCCAGTGCAAAATAAAAAAGTGGGGCCTCTTGTTGAAAATAATATGAAGAATTCCAATTTCCCCACAGTGCATTAAATCAACCACAGGGCTCCAATGCGGATGGTCTGTGCAGTTGCACAGGTTGCATACCTATGAAGCTGGCTCTGATTCTCAACCCGTTCCTGCTTCTCTAGATTGGTAACAACTGTATGCAAAGTGAAAAGATGCCTGACTGATATTTAGAAAATGTCTGTTCCATTCAAGTCTTCAGGATCAGAAGACCTACTGCCAAAAAGATAGCTTCTTGGCTCCATGACAGCTGGCATGGCATGGGCTCATAAGATGCAGAATGCAGCCTCTCAAAGGGCCAACTTTCTCCCTTCCCAGCATATGGCTTCCAATGATTAGGTGGTGCAGTATTCCGTGAAAAGAAATTTGGTGGTCTGCCCTCTCACGGGTTATCCTTAAGATAGAGAACATGGAAAAAAAAGATCAAACTACAATCAGTCCTGCTTTAAAAAACAACAAAAGTGACCCTAAATTTAGCATGTGAAGCTTGGCAATAATGATAACCAAAACAAACATTATTCAAGTATTTATCAATTGCCAGTAACTATGCTAAATCCTTTTTAAAGATATATATAGTCCTCACAGCAACCTGAGATACAATATTCAAACCTATGTTCATTTGCTTTCATAGAAGGGCTTGTTTCACTTGTTCAAACAGAGCTGAATTTCAGGTGGAGGGAGCAAACCCTACTAATTGACCTTGGGCAAGCTCCCTTCCCTGGCTGGGTTGGATATGCTAGCCTGTTAATGGAGTTTGTGGTCTGCATGCTTTTGAAGTCCTCTGGACTCTGAGAGTCTGTGACTCCAAGAGAAGGAACTCAGGAAATTTCATGCCTTTCCAATCAGCCTTCCCATACATGCTATTCCAGGGCACCAGAGAGACAAACCACAAAATCGAGAACAGCAGAAAAAAGCTGGCCCCATAGCCAGGACACTGGGGTTCTAGCCCTGGATCCACCAATTACTTGTAGGATGACTCAGAGCAAGTCACTTCACCATTCTGAGCCTCAGTTTCCTTATCCATAAATTAATTAACAGATGCCCAAAGTCCTGCCCTGCAAGGCACAGTGCCTGGCACCTAGAAAGTTCTCAGCATGTGTTAGTTATTATCATCATCGTTACAATTATGCCCTCTTCCAATGGTTCCCACCAGTTTCAAGTAAGACAGACCCCATTTAATGCAAAAATGAACTACAGACCTCTTCCCATCTAACTGGTTTAACATTTAGTATCAATTAATTAGAAAAATGTAGAACATCAAAAAAATCACTATGAATTTTCATTCAATTCATCAAAGCACTTTCACATACGCTTGAAAAATGTGGAACATTTTTCTCATCATGATGATGCTGGATTCTCAAACCCTTGTAATGCTTCTGAGGAGCTAGGCTGCGGCCTGCTGCTCTCTGGACCACCTGCCAGCTCAGGGCTCAGTGCATTGCCGTCTCTACATTCAGTCACCTCGACTCCTCAACTCCTCCTCCACCGATTCCCTTACCACACTGTCAAGGCCCAAAACACAAAGTGGGCAAAAGGAAGAAACATGTATATCTAGCACCGGAACTGAAAGTATGACTGCTCGTGCCTATTTCTGCCTTTAAACCTTTTTTCTCACAAAGTACAAACTTTTGAAGGGTAAGAGATGATACACCCACTTTATGGAGAATGTTTGATGCGGTCTCGAATAAATTCTTCATAACCCTATTTTAACATGCATTTGGAAAAAAACACAAAATAATACATTATTAGAGCAGGAATGGTTCTCTAAATCCATGGTTCTTTAATTTGCATACAAATCACCTGGGATGGTGTTTAAAGGCAGCTTCTGATCAGTAGCTCTGGAGAGGAGCCTAAGACCCTGCATTTCTAACAAGCTCCCAGGTGATGCTGACACTGCCAGTACACAGGGCTTGGTCCAACCTTATTGCTTTGCATATGAGAACTTGAGGATCAGAGAAGGCAAGTGTTTCGCCTAGGGCCACACAGCTCGTTAGAGGTAGGGCTAGGAGAGGAACACAAGTTTATTGACTTTCAGTCCAGAGCTCTTTCTTTTATGCCCTGATGTCATCCTTTGTAGGAGGGAAGAATGTTTCTGAAAAAAAAAAGTCCCATTGTCCTTTCCCATGAAAGACAATACTACACACATATAAATATACACATACATAGAGGACAAGAGCTAAACTGTCTCTCTCCCCGTTTCCAGCACAGAGTTACAAACAAAAGATACTCAAAAACTATTTGTTAATGGATTCATCTGATGGGGATTGCAATGAAATGTTCCAATTAGAGTAATGCTTTCACCTTTTTCATCTCTTTAAAGACTTCCTTCTCAACAGCCACCCCTATCTCCAAAACTTTCTCTACTTACATACTAAGTTTCCCCTAATGGCATTTTCTAAATTAAAATTTAATTTATGGGGAGAAAGTTCAAAACAAGCTATTATTCTAAATCGACATTGAGGCAGAAGATAAGGGTTCTTTATTCCAGTATCGGCAGGATATTTTATGTTCCTGAATATCCTTTGCACTAGACCATTTAAGGCATGTGAAGTGTTTGAAGAGTTGCACTTAGCAGTCTAAGTGTTCAAACAGCATTCAAAGCCTCTCTGCCCTCCCACCATTCAGAATCACTCCAAAGGGCTTCTGTGGCTTGGAACTGTGTTTTCACGATCTTAAGAGTTCAAGAGAGCTTACTTCATGAGCTTACTCAGCTCAGGTCCAAGTACACGGCAGGTCCACAATATGCCTCTGACCCAGTGTCAAATTCACCACCTAGAGTCACAAGTTTTCAAGGTTTTGACAGGATTTTCCTTAAAAGGTCAGAAAACATACCCTCAAAGAGAAGAAAAAAATGGCTTTTAGACTTCTTATTCTATTCTACCACTGGTTGAAATTAACAAATTTGATACAAATACTTTGGATTTGAATCTTGCCGCACTAGGAAACCGAGAAGACAGAAGGATAACACTTAAAGGCAAGCCCATTTTTCCCCTTGCAAGAGGGAACCTCAGCATAGCTCCAAAGCCACAAGAGCCCTCTCAGCGGGGCTTCTGATGATTTCTAACTCGAAGAATGTAATTCATCAGCCCCCTGGAGCACTAGTGTGGCTGCCAATCCTCCCACCAGAACCTTCCTGAACCTGCCCTCCCAACCACAGAGTCCCCTTCCCCGCCTGCAGAGTTCCAACTTCCCTTCACTGCATGGCATTCGAGGCTCTGCACACAGAGGCAACCTCTTCTGGGGTCCACAAGTTACTGTGCAGATCTCTCTTCAGGCACATACCAAAACAAATTCTAACTCCCCCAGTGATTTGTCTCTTCACCCACCCCATTTGACTGCACCCCACCACTACCACCAGTTTCATGAGTCTGGGAGCCACTAGAAAGTGGATAGTGTGCTGGACCCTGTATATCCCAGCACTGTCCCGGGCATGCAGTCAGGACTTACAAAATGGGAGCTATTATTCTCATATCACATTGATACGTTCCCTCCACTGCTCCCTTCTTGCTTCCCACTTCCTCCAATGGGCTTCCTAAAACAATTTTAGGGCTGGAAGGGGTGTGAAGCCACCTCGTTTCACAGATGAGGAAACTGAAGAAGACCTTCAGGTGATTCCATCACTGTGGACCTGCTAGTGGCCTCGCTGGAGAGCCACCTTCTGGCCTCTGATGACTGGTCCTGAGTACCTCCTCATTCTTTCTCTCCAGACCCAGGCAGCAGGGCACAGCAGGCCACTACCAGTGACAGAAAGAAGCTGTTCCTTCATGGCCTAGTGCTGGAGGCCAGGGAAGCCAGTTTCAGTGCCAGACTCCAGCACTGAGGAATTCAGGCTGGTTACTTCCGATCAAGGCCAAGGTGGACCTCGGGTTCCTCATCTGGAACATGGTCATCTGAGCTCTTGTTGATGGACGGCTCACCATTCACACTCAGGACTGGCCAGTGTCTGTCAGCATTATCTAATTTTACTCTCACCAGAAAGCAATGAGGTAGATATGATTAGTACCCCAATTTTTACAGATGGGCAAACTGAGGCTTTGAGGTTTGTCCAAGATCACAGGGAGTCAAATAGGTTTGGCTAACTCTCAAAGCCAGTATTTTGACTTTGGTCACATTAGCTTTGTCAGAGGCCCCTTTGGCCCTAGACAGCAGTGTTTTCATTTCCTCAGTGAAGGGACATCCTTTCCTGACAGCAGATGGGAGGCTCACCCTGTGCTTCTTGGTTCCCCAGCAACCAGGGCCGTTGTCTTTACCTAACTGCATTAGCAGCAGTTCTACCTAATCCTAGGTGCACACAACAGAGACAGGAGTCTTTCCCTGGGGGCTCTGCTTCTCCTGAAATTAGCCACAGTCCCCAGGAGGCTGTTATCCCAACCCCAGCGGGGAAGGCAGCAGAGCCAAGATGGAGCTTACTGCAGGAAGCCACTGCTGCGCTGGGGAAAACAAAGCTCAGACTGGATGGCTCGGCTCTGATCACAGGCACCAGATGTGCCAGCTACAAGGGTGCATGCCTGCCAGTCATCAGCAAGTGACCACTGAAGCAACCACTGCTTCTTTCTGGAGGTCCTGGGAAGGGCATTGGCAAAGCATTCCAAAGAAAAAACATACCCTGAGCTTTTCCTAAAGGCATCCCCTAAAGCAAGCACCAGATCCCTGTCTCATTCACCATCATATTCTCAGCACCCAGCATTATCCTTGGCACATGGTAGGTGTCCATCGATCATTTGGTTAACTTTTTATATTGACACATATTAGATGTAGATATTTTCTGGGCACATGTGATATTTTGGTACATTCACAGAATGTGTAAAGATCAAATCAGGGCAACTGAAATAGCCATAATGTTACGCTAGGAACATTCTAATTCTCTTCTAGCTCTTTTGAAACACACAATAGATTATTGTTAAGTATCATTACTCTACTGCCAATCGATCATTTGGTTGACAAAAGAGCTTACCATCGCCATCCTGATGCCAAACAGTGCCTCACTAGATTTGAGAATGAGTATCCAGGCTCACCACCAATTATGAAGCTTGGGATAACTTCCTTCACCTGAGTGTTTTTATTCCATAACCCCAAATAATAATACCCATCTCACCGAATCCAGTAGTATTTAGCCATTCATCCCACAAGACTCTGGGACAAATGCATAGAATAATTTTAAAGGGTGGCACCATTTGAGACCACTTACTTTTTTCATAAATTTATTGTACACCTACCATTGACATGATGTGAAATCAGAGAAAGCTGTCCTAAGACTCTGGGTCTGGGGATTACAGGTTGTCTGGTATTACAGAAGGGTAGACTGGGAGTTCTAGCACTTCAAGTGATTCCTTTAGAAATGTGAGCATCCTCGGCGCCAACTTTATCTCACAGTCCCTTGATCTTTCAGCAAAATACTTGCCAATTCAACTGGATACTCTGGTTAATTCACTCTCAGAGACATTAGTAGAAAATAAGTTTTCAGGGAAAGAACAAAAAAGTTATGTAAGTTGCAAGTTTCCAGTTTTCTCTCATTCTCTCTCTTTGCAAGAGGCAAGGAATGAGAATTGGTGTAATAATAAGAATAAAGTGATATTCTCATGGTGCCCTGCAGTTTGCCACATTCTTTCATCTGCATCTCACTTAATATACACAATAATCCTCTGAGATTTCAGTAGCCCATTTTATAAATTAGGAAACAGAAGCCCAGAGAAGTGAAACATCTTGCCCTAGCAGCAGATGAGTTGCAGGCCAGGCCCAAACTGAGATTCTTTTCTCTCCAA